CCCTGTCCCCCTGAGTCCCAAGCAAGTCACAGGAAGAAAAGAAAGGCATGTCCGCCTACTCTTGAACTGGTCAGAGACAGCTGCCCACCTGGAGCCACAGGTTGTGGGCATGTGAGTTCCTTCTGGGAGGTGGGGCACACACAAGTGTTCTGCTCTGGGTGGATGTCAGGCAAAGCGTCCTTCTTAAGTCACACCCTCTCTGGAGCCCAGAGTGGCAAGCCGACCAGGCAGTTCTTGGCGTCTCCGTGGTGAATCATTGCTCCCACATGGGTTCACTTCACAAGTGCTAATTTGGGAGCTGAGCAGAAGAGCCTCGAATTAACTTCAGCGTCCTCTTTCCCCTTCCTGGGGTCTCAACCTTGAGCGTCCTCCCTAGCAAGGCTCAGGACCCAGAGAAAGGTTCATGTTTGCACTGACCTAGCAAGGACAGTGGGGCAGGCAGGAGGGAGCTCAAAGAAAAGGTCTCCCTTTTTGTGTTGGATTATTCATCAGAGAGAAACCAAAACACACAGCAGACAAGGAGGAAATGCCAAACTGTCAACAGGACACTGCAATGTTAATTTCTCAGAAAACAAATACAGGTACATTGCACAGCCAACCTGGAAGGATGGGCACAGGGCTTTGGTTTTTGTTTTTTTAATATTATTTGAATTTTTACCTTTTTAGGTATTATTGATAAAAATATCTTTTAAAAATGCTCAAACATTGCAAAAGATTTAATATAGCAAGTACTTAATATACACAGGTTTAAAGGGCTGGGTGTGGCATAGCCGGTTAAGCTGGTACTGGTGATACCCCCATCCCACACGAGCGCCAGTTGGAGTGTCGGCTGCTCTACCTCCCACTCAGCTCCCTGCTAGTGTGCCTGGAAAAGCAGTAGAAAATGGCTCCAGTGCTTGGGTCCCTGACACCTCCATGGCAGAGCCAGATGGAATTTCAGGTTCTTGGCTTTGGCCTGGTCCAGTCCCAGCTGCTACAGAGTGAAGCAACAGACAGATCTTTCTCTCTTTGTAATTCTGCTTTTCCACCTAAACAAATGAATCTTTAAGAAAGTATCCACATTATTTCTTCAAAAAATATTTCTTTTTGGACCCAGCGGCATGGCCTAGCAGCTAAAGTCCTCGCCTTGAACACGCCAGGATCCCATATGGGCACCGGTTCTAATCCCGGGGGCCCCGCTTGCCATCCAGCTCCCTGCCTGTGGCCTGGGAAAGCAGTTGAGGATGGCCCAATGCTTTGGGATCCTGCACCCGCGTGGGATACCGAGAGGAAGTTCCTGGTTCCTGGCTTCGGATCAGCATAGCACCAGCCGTTGGAGTCACTTGGAGAGTGAATCATTGGATGGAAGATCTTCCTCTCTATCTCTCCTCCTCTCTGTATATCTGACTTTGTAATAAAAATAAATAAATCTTTTTAAAAAATATTTCTTTTTATTGGAAAAGCAGATTTACAGAGAGAGGAGGAGAGACAAAAATGAAAGATCTTCCACCCGTTGGTCCCTTCCCCAAATGGCTGCACCGGCCAGAGGTAAGCTGATGCAAAGTCAGGAGCCAAGAGCCAGGAGCTTCCTCTGAGTCTCCCACATGAGTGCAGAGTCCCAAGGCTTTGGAGAAACCTTTACTGTTTTCCCAGGCCACAAGCAGGGAGCTAGAAGGGAAGTGGAGCAGCCAGAACAAGAACCGGCACCCATATGGGATCCTGGCACGTTCAAGGTGAAAACTTTAGCCGCTAGGCTGTCGTGCTGGGGCCCCCGTCACATTATTTCTAAAGCATTCGTGTACAAACACACACATACACAGAGCATAAACCACTGTGCTGGGGCATTTGGCTCAGTAGTTTAGTTGCCACTTTGGCCAACTGGATCTCATGTTAGCTGGGTTTGAGTCCTAGCTCCTCTGCCCACAATCCGACTTCCTGTGAATGCACACCTGGGAGGCAGCAGGTGATGACTCAAGTGCTTGAATCCTTGACTCCCACAAGGGAGGCCTGGAATGTGCCAGGTTTCTGGCTTTCACCTGACTGTTATAGGCATTTGGGTAATGAACCAGCAGTTGGAGGATCTCTGTCTCTCTGCCTAAAATGAGGATCAATAAATAAAATAATTTAAAGCCACTGTGAAATTTGGGGAAGCAGCATTTATCAACTATATGGCCTACTGTGTGTCACGGCTTTCCCATAGGGCTTGGACAAGGGAGGCTTGGCTAGGAAGGAACCCAGCAGGGCCCTTTCCAGGTCTGTTCCTTGGCAAGGACCACCCCCCGCCCTTCCTCCCTGGAGTGTGCAGTTGGAGGCACCAGCTGCTCTGGCAGCATCCAGGGAGATGCCATCTGTGAGGGAAACCTATTCTTAGAGAGCAGAGACAGCAGAGGAGCTGCCAACCCCCAGCAGCAATGGGCAACTCGGAGAGGCAAGCAGCTAAGGCGGCACCCTCAGCCATTGGCCAGGACAGGCTAACAGCAGGCTGTGTTCTGCCCCAAGACCACACTGTCCCCAACATTCAGCCGCTGTATGAGACAGCACAGCATGCTCACTTCATCTGTGTCAAACCTCTGAATTCTTCAGACCTTCCTGGGAGGCCCGGGCTATTTCCATGCCTGTGTTACAGAGCACAGGATGACAATGTCGCTTGTCCAAGGAAACGCAGGGTCCAGGGCTCCAAGTCCAGCCACTCCAGTTCCTGAACCATCATGTCTACCTGTTATACAAGAGGCCAGTTTTTTTTTTTTTAAGATTTATTTATTTTTATTGGAAAGGCAGATTTACAGAGAGAAAGAGATAAAGATCTTCCGTCTGCTGGTTTACTTCCCAAGTGACCACAGCAGCTGGAGTTGAGCCAATCCAAAGCCAGGAGCAGGAATTTCTGAGTTTGCCATGCTGGTGCAGAGTCCCAAGACCTTGGGTCGTCCTCTACTGCCTTCCCAGACCAGAAGCAGGGGTGGATAGGAAGAGGAGCAGCCAGACATGAACTGGTACCCATATGAGATTCCAGTGTATACTAGGCAAGGATTTAGCCACTAGGCTACTGCGCCAGGCTCTGGTTTTTGTTTGGATTCCCCAGTAGCAGACCCTAAGTCAAGGATATAACGCCAAGTGGTTTATAAGGGAAGTTCACACTGGCAGGGGCATGAGGAAGGGAGACAAGGGGAGGATGTGATGGGCAGCTGAACTTCAAACCTGCTCGGGTGCTCTGGCATTCAGGGCTGGGTGTACACCTCTGCATTCTCCTAGCTGAGGGCTGCTTGGGCTGTTTTAAATTCCCAGCACTTCAGGCCTGCTGCAGGATGCACTATGGGAGCCATGGCAAGGGTAAGCCCACAGGCAAAAGCACACAGGGTGGCAAGTGGAGACACTGGCTGGTGTGTGCAGCACTGGTGCGTTATGGTGAGCGGGAGGGGGGCATGCCCGTCTTCTGCTACATAACCTGCATGAGGAAGGCAGACTTCCCTTGTCTGCTTCACCTTGACAGGTCATTCAAAATCCACCGAGTGAAAGGATCTTCAAAGTCACCCACTGTGAGCCTGCAGGTAAGCATGTGGCTGAGAACATGGCTTGCAAAATCAGACGCAAGCTCCCCTTGGCTGCCCATCAGCTCCGTCTGTGACTCACACATCACGTGCGCTAGTGGTTGGCCCCACCGCATTCCCACCACCTCACCTGGGAGCTGGGGAGAGAAATGCAGACTCCTAGGCCCCACCCCAAGCTCCCTGAATCAGAATCTACACTTGAGTGAGATTTCCAGTGACCCATAGACATGATTCTACTAGTAACATCTAGGTTAGTAAGGGTCTGATAGACTAGGAATATTAATAGAAGTATTCTGACTAAACCAAGGGTCTTAAGTCAATAGCCCGTGGATTAGACTTTCTAAGAACTTGTTTAATGTTCCAACATGGTCAACTTAAAACAGTTTGCCACACACATCTCCATCCCACTCTACTACACAGCACCCTGCACATTTCCATTTGGACCACCGCAGGCCCCTAGACGCACCAGCGGGCACCCACTCCCCTCCAGCCCAGATCCTACCACAAGAAAACATTTGCATAACCCGGCTTAGGTTCTCCATTTAAAGCAAGGCACTGAAAAAAAAAATAAATAAACAAAGAGAAAACAAAAAAAAAAAGATCCCAGAGAAACAAAAATGGCCTTTAAAATATATCTGAGCTCAAATCCTGATTTGGCTATCATATTTGCTGTGCTACCTTGGGCAAGTTACCTTCCCTCTCTGACCCTCAGGGAAAAAGGCATCAAAATTCACGCTTGGAAGGTCATGGCATCAATTAAAAACATGGCAGGGGTGGGGGGAAGGAGGGACTCAACAAGGCCACTCGCAGGTGGTATAGGCACTCAGACCCATGTCCCTGAGCTGCAGATGGGCACTGTCCACTAGAACCCTCTGTAAGGCCAGAAACCTTGCAAGTCTTTATCACCCAAAGAGGGCGCCACCAGCCACATGTGGCAGCGAGCATGCGTCCAAGCTGGGGTGTGCTGGGGGTGAAAAACACACTTCTGATTTTTGAAGTCTTAGCAGAAACAAGAATGTAACATAGCTCTTTAATATTTTTAATGCTGATTACCTGTTAAAATAACATTCTGAAATGTTGGGTTAAAATATACAATTAAGGTTCATGTCACCTGTTTCCTTCCACACTTTCCGAAGTGGCTACTAGAAAAATCTAGATTCCATTCACAACTCACTCAGTGGCTCTGTTGGCCAGTGGGGCTCTAGAATTGCTGGGGATCAGCCCCTGAGCAGGGAACTCCACATTTTTTTAAAGATTTATTTTATTATTTTTAGTGGAAAATCAAATATACAGAGAGGAGGAGAGACAGAGAAGGAGAGACCTTCCATCTGCTGGTTCACTCCCCAAGCAGCCACAACGGCTGAAGCCGGGAGCCAGGAGCCTCTTCTGGGTATCCCACATGGGCTCAAAAACTTTGGGCCATCCTTGACCGCTTTCCCAGGCCACAAGCAGGGAGCTGGACGGAAAGTGGGGCTGCCGGGATTAGAACCGGCGACCATATGGGATCCCAGCGTGCTCAAGGCGAGGACTCTACCATGCTGGGCCGGAAATCCACGTTTTTTTCAACAAGCAGTGGCAACCCTATCTGCCAATCACCCTTCATTTACATAAGAAAACAGTGGAAAAAGAAGGCACCCACCAGAGAGAGAGGTCTCAGGGTCCTCCTCTCTGAGCTCCAGGAGCCTGGAGCCCCGAGGCAGGAGGGACTTGTCCTGCAGGACCTAGCAGCACAATGGGAACCAACCCCGAGAGTCCACCGCCCTCTGCTCCGCCACTCCAGAGCACCTCCAGGGACTTGAGCGCCAGTGCTTCTCCTTGGGCACATGGAACCCTGGGATAAAAAAGGCGGGAGTGTGCGGGGTGATTCTGAGAACCCTCTGGGAAGGTTCGTCGGTGAGGCAGACCTCGAGCCACGGCCGGCCACTGCCTGGAGCCTGCGGGGGCGCGGCGAGGAGTCGCCATCGGCGCCTACTTGGAGGGGCGCCTCTTGTTGAAGATGAGGAAGTCTGAGATGTCGTGCCACACGTTGCTGTCGTCGTAGAGGTAGGTCATGGAGGACTGCAGTGACGGCTGCAGCGTGGAGCGGTGGTACTCAAAGAGCCACAGCACCAGCCCCCAGATGACCGCCGTGTGCAGCGGGAACGGGTCCCACTTGAGCTGAGGGATGTAGCCTTTCTCCACGCCCAGGCGGCACAGGGCAAACAGCGCCCGGGAGGTCAGGTACATGTTGATCTGCAGGGAGAGAACGATGAGTCTGACCAAGGAAGGCAACAGCCAAGGGCAACTTTTTTTCCTATTCCTGCCCTCCACCCCCACGGTGCACTGGCTCAGAGTTGTCATATACAAGATGACTGGATGTTGGGAGAGAGTGCTGGAGCACTGTGGGTTAAGCTGCTGCTTGGGACACCCACATCCCAGATGAGAGTCCTAGTTGCTGAGCTTCTGACCCAGCTTCCTGCCTCGGAAGGCGGCACATGATGGCTCACGCACCTGTCCTCGGCCACTCATAGGAAACCTGGGTGGAGATCCTGGATCCTGACTTCAGCCTGGCCCCTTCTCAGCTGTTACGGGCATTTGGGGAGTAAACCAGAAAGCCTCAGTGTCTCTCTCTCTCTCTGTCACCCTGCCTTTCAAATAGAGAAGTAAATCTTGGGAGGAGGGAAGATAATTTTAAATGAGACATATTGACATTTTAATTTTTCTATCTCTTATATACATTTTCTTTAGAAATTAAAATATTTTACAGAGCTGAAAACAAATGGTAATCTGATATCAACAATATGATCTACAAGAGGAAAAAAATGTTTCAAAGCTTAAAATGTGGGCCTGGCATGGTAGCATAGTGGCTAAAATCCTCGCCTTGCACGCGTCGAGATCCCATATGGGCTCCACTTCTAATCCTGGTGGCCCTGCTTCCCATCCAGCTCCCTGTATGTGGCCTGGGAAGGCAGTCGAGGATGGTCCAAAGCCTTGGGACCCTGCACCCGTGTGGGAGACCTGGAAGAGGCTCTGGGCTCCTGGCTTTGGATCGGATTGGTTTACCTCTGGCCATTGTGGCCACTTGGAGAGTGAATCAGTGGATGGAAGATCTTCCTCTCTGTCTCTCCTCCTCTGTGTATATCTGACTTACTAATAAAAAGAAATAAAATCTTAAAAAAAAAGAAACGAAAAGAAAATACCAAGAGAAAATGGGCAAAAGACATAGAGAGACTGAAAAGGCTCCACGGATGGAAAACAAGCAGATGAAAAGATGTTTAACATCATTAGCCATCAGGCAAATACAAATTAAAAGTGCACCGAGCTAGCACTATACCCTAGCAATCTATCAAAATTGCTAAATAAAGAATGTCATAAACCAAATTCTGGCAAGGATGTAAAGAAACCAGATCACTTGTATATTCCTGGTGGGAACATAAAACAGTACAGTCACTCTGGGACTCTCTGGATGTTTCCATTGCTTTTGTTTGTTTTGTATTCAGATGTGCTTATTTATTTGAAAGGTAGAGTGATGTGGTGAAGGGGTAGATTTTCTATCCACTGCCTCAATCCCCATGTGACAACAACACAGGAGCACCCATAAAGGTGCTGACTCAAGCCCCAGCTCCTCTACAGTTTCTTTCTTTCCTTCTTTCTTTCTTTAAATATTTATTTTCATTGAAAAGGCAGATTTTACAGAGAAGGAGATATACAGAGAAAGATCTTTCATCTGTTGGTTAACCACCCAACTGGCCACAACAGCCAGAGCTAAATCGATCCAAAGCCAGGAGCCAGGGTGCAGGGTCCCAAAGCTTTGGGCCATCCTCTCTTGCTTTTCCAGGCTACAAGCAGGGAGCTGAATGGGAAGTGGAGCAGCCAGGACAAAAACCGGGATCCATATGGGATCCTGGTGCTTGCAAGGCAAGGATTTAGCCACTGAGCCATCACACCAGGCCCTATTCCACTTTCATTCCAGCATCCCTGCTGCCTGGGAAAGCAGCAAAAGATGCCCGAATCCTTGGCTCCTACACTCCTGGGGGAGACTGGATGGAGATCTGGGTATCTGGGTTGGCCTTGGCCAGCCCCAGTCATTGTAGCCACTGGGGAGTGAAACAGCAGATCTCTCTCTCTCTCTCTGTAAATCTGCCTTTCAAGTAAACAAACAAATCTGGGGAAAAACATTTCCCAGGGTAACAGTTCAGACTGGATCTTTCTTCTCTAACGCATGCACACAATGCTATATTACCTCCAAGCATTGCTTTCAATGTAACCTGCAAATTTTCAAAATGCATTTTTAAAAATGCAAAAATAAAAATTACTTTTGTAATTTCAGAATACTTAAGAAATTTGAGGGAGGTAAATAAAGGTGCTACCAACCTTTCATTTTGCAAAAAGATATTAAAAAACTACAGTAACAACTAGCACGAGCCTCATCACTCATCACCACTTCACACTTAAATCCAGGAAAAGAACCAGCCACAGGACAAAGGGCAATTTTTAAGGGTCTTAAGCGTTGTTTTATGAAAAATTTCACTTGGGTCATTTTTTTCCTCATAATTTTTTTTTAATCTTGGTGGTACCTGTGTGGTGCAATGACTAAAGCTTCCTCCCATATCAGAATGCTTGACCCAAGTCCTGGCTCCTCCAGTCTGGATCAAGCATCCTGCTAACGTGGACATTAGGAAATAGAGGGTTTAAGAACTTGGATCCCTGACATTCATGTGGAAGAGTTCCAAGCTCCAGGCTTCAGTCTGACCAAGGCCCAACTACTGAAGGCACTTCTGCCTCTCTTTCACTTTCAAGTAAAGTGAAAATAACATTCCAAAAAAATTTTTTTTAGGGTCCAACATAGTAGATTAATGGCTAAACTCCTCTCCTTGCACGTGCCGTGATTCCAAGTGGGCACTGGTCCTAACTCTAGCAGCCCCGCTCCCCATCCAGTTCCCTGCTTGTGGCATGGGAAGCAGTTGAGGATGGCCCAAAGCCTTGGGACCCTGCACCTGCGTGGGAGACTAGCAGAAGACTCCTGCCTTCGGATCAGCTCAGCTTGGCCATTGCAGCCACTTGAGGAGTGAATCAGCAGATGGAAGTACTTCCTCTCTACATATCTGACTTACCAATTAAAAAAAAAAAAGTCAGAGAGCAACATGCATCACACATTCAGAAGCCAATGAATTCCAACAAACTGCTTAGTTTAATGAAGGGGAGGAGAGGGAGACAGTGACCTTCCTGAGGTCACACAAAGACCAGTGGATCACAGACCTTGGCCATGACAGACAGCTAGGGGCTCATCCTTGTCAGCTCCCGCTCCCCTATCTTGGTACTTGTGCCACATCCAGAGCCCCCAGCCCCGGGTCAGGGAGGATCTTTACCTGGCTGTTGATGTTATTGTTCTCTCCAAATATCAGGTAACCCCCGATGAAGGCAGCCAGGAATGGATGCAACTGGTGGGTCTTGCCCTGTACGTGGGACTGCAGGCTGCAGAGAGCCTTGTAGGCGAACACAAAGTAGGCCAGGTTCCGGGAGTGGGTGTAGGTGGCCTGCAGGATGGTTCGCAGCTTCTCCCGGAAGCTGTACAAACACAGGGAGCCCCCCATGAGCACAGGCCCACTGGAACAGGCCAACAGCTCACAGGCCTCTCTGTCCACCTTGTCCTCAGGGCTGCCCGCTGGCTAGATTTGGTCCTGGACTGAATTCTACCTCCTCAAAGAAGCCTTCCCTGACTGCTGCACATAACATAATGCCCTTCATAATCTGTTCCCTCGCCCTGCTTGTCTTTCCCTTTGTAGCTCTTACTACCAGCTGCTTTGATATTTCTATGCTGGAGCACTTTCTTTCCCTAATTTCTGTAATCCTGTCCTACCCAGTGAAAGCTATAGTTAAGTGGTACCTAGATTTGGTTTGCTCATGTAAGAGTCCAGAAATGACCTGGCACACAGTAAGGTGCTCAATAATTACACGTGAAGGAATGAGGTCCCTACTGTGTGCTGGATCTGGGAAACAATTTGGAGAAAAAAAATCTGCTTGCTGCACTGATGGAGAAGGAAATGTGAAATAAACCATCTCGGGCAGGGGGGGGAGGGTATTTGGCTCAGCAGCTACGACACTGCTTGGGATGCCCATAGCCCCTGCCAGAGGGCCTGTGTTGGACAATTAGCTCCTTTTTAAATTCCATCTTCCTGCTACAGGGTACCCTGGAGGCTACGAGAGATGGCCCAGATGCCTGGGCTCCTGTTGTCCAGAGGGGAGACCTGGATTAACTTCCAGGCTTCCCGACTTCAGCCTGGCCTATTGTAGGCATTTGGAGAAGGAACCAGCAGGTAGGAGAATCTTTCTCGCACTCTGTTTCTGTGCCTTTCAAATAAATGAAAAATAAAGATATAAAAGTTAAGAGGTTTAAGAGACAGTGACAAGGACTTCCTGAAGTCCAGAGAAGAGGGGCATCACTTTGCAGCAGGGGGGCTCAGCATGTGCAAAGGCCCTGGGGAGGGGGCAGGAGCTTGGCAGTGAGGGACACTGTAGCTACGGACAGAGAGAGCATGGCGGGGAAAGACCAGGTGAGAAGCGCTGGGATGGAATCCGCTGAACTTGGTCTGTCCTGAGAGGTGAACATGGAGTGAGTGGGTCAGTCATCTTAGCTTCTCAGAAACACTAGGGGGCACCAAGTGAAGGCACAAAGAACACTCCTCTCAGCTGAGCAGGGGCAACCTCAGGCACCCTTAGGGCTGGGGATTCAGGTCAATTCCCATAGGCAGGAGGGAGTGGCCAGCCAGAGGGCCATAAGTCCCTGGGAACACTGTCCACACACACACTCCTTAGCCCTATCACAGTCACCACCAAAGTGCCAGCCATGACTATTGCTCGCCTGGATTTTTTTTTCCCCCAGTTTTCTAAGATATGTATTTGAAAGGCAGGTGCCTTGCCTTAGCAGGGAACTGGGTCAAAAACGAAGCGGCTGTGAACTGAACCAGCACACTCTGGCAGGGGACGCGTGCCGCAAGTTGACTGCCTAGTCTCCTGTGTCAACGTTCACCCCATCCACCTGACTTGTTGCTGCTGCCTTCTCGTGTGTGCTCATCTGTCCACGTGTTTCCCCTCACCCCACCAGTGTGTTCTTAATCTGGTAACAAATTCTTCACTCCTGCTGTCAGAGCCTTAGTGGGAATAACAGTACCTTCCTGCTCACAATTTCAGGATGTGCCCCTCCGTACCTGGAATCTGGACAACAGGACCCCCTGCTCTCATCCTACCTGCAGCTCCTCAGCTCTATCTCCCTCAGAGCCCCTCAGGCCTCTGCACTGGCTATTCCGCAGCTCTTGCTTCTGGGAGCCCCTCGGCCAGCGTGGTCATCGCCAAGTCTCCTCTTCAAATATCACTTCCTCAGAGAGCTTGCTCGTGTAACTCTGCAACACTCCCTACTTCCAGCAACTTTATTCCTCACTTACTAAATTTCTTTTCCACCACTGCAAGACCATAAGCTCTAGGAAGAAAAGGAGTGTTGTTTGTCTCGCTCTTTGCTATCCTGAATAAATTAGCTCAATAAATTAAAACAGGGCCTGGCGGAGTGGCCTAGCGGCTAAAGTCCTCGCCTTGAATGTGCCAGGATCCCATATGGGCACTGGTTCTAATCCTGGCACCTCCACTTCCCATCCAGCTCCCTGTTTGTGACCTGGGAAAGCAGTCGAGGACAGCCCAAAGCCTTGGGACCCTGCACCCGTGAGGGATGCCCGGAAGAAGTTCCTGGATCCTGGCTTTGGATTGGCATAGCATCAGCCGTTGCGCTCACTTGGGAAGTGAATCATTGGACGGAAGATCTTCCCCTCTGTCTCTCCTCCTCTCTGTATATCTGACTTTCCACATGGGAGACCCTGCACCCACATGGGAGACCCAGAGGAAGCTCCAGCTCTTGGCTTCCGCCCAGCCAGCCCATATTGTCACAGCTATTGGGGAAGTGAACCGTGGATGGAAGATCTCTCTGTCGCTCTTTTGTTCTAACTCTGCCTTTCAAATAAATAGATCTTAAAAAGATAGAGAGAGAGAGAGAGGGCTAATAGCCAAGATAAACAAATGAACAGATAGAATGGAAAGGGAAAATCTTGCCAGTTGGCTCAGGCTGACTGAGTGCCCTTCCTCTAAGCTCCAGGTGAGGCTCTCTACTTGGAGTTCCCCTGAGAAGACATTTCCTGCAAAGTGCCTTGAAGCAGTTACAGAAGATTGGAAAAGAAATTCAGGACACATTTCCTAGAAGTCTGTCTGCAGGGCGGGGAGATGAAGGTTGTGGGGACAGAGATAGAGGCAGTGGGGAAGAGGAGAGGGCATTCCTAGACTGGGGTACTGGCTGAGCAAACGTGCCAGGCACAAATGGGGAGTGGTGGCAGACAAGGGCACTCCAGGATAGGTCCTGCGGGGACACAGATGAGGTCCCGGCTGTGCAGCTGGGCATCTTTGGAAGCCAGTGAGGAGCCAGGGGTCATTGTGAGCAGGGGCATGAGATCCAAGCCTGATTTCTGCAATGTGATCGGGGCGACAGGTCAACCCAACCCCAGAGCTACCCCAGCCGTCCTGGCACTTTGAGCTAATCACATTCTCTCCCAGCTGGCAGGGTATTCAAAGGGGTGTGTACCTGCCGCTCCTGAAGAGGAGGGTCATGACCAGCGCATGGGGGGCCCGGATCTTGACTCCATAGCTGTGGGGACAGAAGAAGGCAGTTACTATGGCATCACCACACTCTGGGCACTGCCAACCAGCCCCTTGTTCCCATCTTGCTCTCTACGGCCACTTCTGCAGGGAGCAGTAATGCTGGCTTTGCTGTTGGTCCTGTTTCACATCCTGCCCTAAAATTCCCCTAGGGATGGCCTTGAGCTTGTCACCCTGCTGAGTCCCTGTTTCTTCAACCATAAAAAGAAGGTTAAACTTCAAGGGCTGGTGAAGTAGCAGAGGATGTGGGTAAAAGGTCACCACTGTTCCTGCTGAACTGGCTTTGTGGAGCTCCTCCTTGGACTCCAGGCTGAGGTTCTCTCTGCAGGCAGACTTACCTTAAAAAAGGGGGGGGGGGATCTTGGGGCCAGCATTGTGGCATAATGGGTGAAGCCACTGTCTACCACATGTTAACACACGTTAATTACCCATAAGGTTTCAAGTACCAGCTGCTCCACTTCCTATCCAGTTCCCAGCTAATGCGCCTGGGAAAGCAGCCCGTAAACCAATGTGGGAGTCCCAGATGAAGCTCCCGTCTCCTGGCTTCAACCTTGAACAGGTGTGGCTATTGTGGCCATTTGAGGAGTGAACCAGCAGATGGAAGCTCTTTCATTGTCTCTCCCTCTGTAACTCTGCCTTTCAAATAAATAAAAAAATAAACCTTAAATAAATAAATTATATATATATATATGGCCCAGCACGGTGGCCTAGGGGTTAAAAGTCCTTGCCTTGCATGTGCCGGGATCCCACATGGGCGCCAGTTCTAATCCCGGCAGCCTTGCTTCCCATCCAGCTCCCTGCTTGTGGCCTAGGAAAGCAGACGAGGACGACCCAAAGATTTGGGACACTGCACCCACGTGGGAGACCTGGAGGAGGCTCCTGGCTCCTGGCTTTGGATTGGCACAGCTTTGTCTGTTGCGGCCGCTTAGGCAGTGAATCATCGGATGGAAGATCTTCTCTGTCTCTTCTCCTCTCTGTATATCTGCCTTTCCAATAAAAAAAAAAATAAATAAATCTTTAAAAAAATACACATAAATCTCATCCCATTACTCTTAGTTTAAAAGCCTCTAACACTGGGCCTGCCCATATGGGATTGCAGCCTGTGCAAGGTGAGGAATTTAGCTACTAGGCGACCAAACCTGGCCCTGGGCAGCGATTCTAATCCTGGCAGGCCTGCTTCCCATCCAGCTCCCTATTTGTGGCCTGGGAAAGCAGTCAAGGATAGCCCAAAGCCTTGGAACCTTGCACCTGCATGGGAGACCCAGAGGAGGCTCCTGGCTCCTGATCAGCTCGGCTCCAGGCATTGTGACTGCTTGGGGAGTGAGCCAGCAGATGGAAGATCTTCCTCTCTGTCTCTCATCCTCTCTGTATATATGACTTTCCAGTAGCAATTAAAAAAACAGGAAGCCTTTAACATCTTTCTACTGCTCATAAAATAAAATCTTCACAACCTCAAAACTACTGCAGGTCTAAGAGGCTGGTGCTGTGGCACAACAGGTTAGGCCTTGCTTGTGATGCTGGCATCCCCTATAAGAGTGCTGGCTTAAGTGGGCATCATGCCACTTCAGATCCAGCCTCCTGCCTGGGGAGGCAGAAGCAGGCAGTCCAAGTACTGGGGCCCCTGCTAACTATGTGGGAGACCCGGATGGTGCTCCCAATTCTTGGCTTTAGCCTGGTGCAGACTCAGCTGTTGGTGGCCATTTGGGGAGTGAAGCAACAGGTGGAAGATTCTCTGTTTTCTCTCAAATTAAGTCAATCAAGCACTGCATGACTTGGCCCCTAACCACCTGTTCCTGAGCCCGTAAATTCTGCTTTGGTTACCTGGGCCTTCCTGGGACTCCTCTGTCCATCTGCTTCTTCTTGGCCTGCTAGCCTATGCCCAGACTGTTCCATCTGCCTGGAGGTCCCTGCCCCTACTCCTCACGAAGCCTCCTTTCCCATAGCTCTCTGGGATCACCTGGGGCCTCTGCAAAGTCTCCCTGACATGCTAGCCAAGGCATTGGGGAGATTTTTGGTTTTATTTTAAGATTTATTTATTACAATTGGAAAGATTTACAGCAGAAATATCTTCCATCATTGGTTTATTCCAAATGGCCACAACAGCTGAAGCTGAGATGATCCAAAGCTGGGAGCCAGGAACCTCTTCCAGGTCTCCCACATAGGTGCAGGATCCCAAGGCTTTGGGCCGTCTTCGACTGCTTTTCCAGGCCACAAGCAGGGAGCTGGATGGGAAGCAAGGCTGCCAGGATTAGAACTGGCGCCCATATGGGATCCTGGCACATGCAAGGCGAGGACTTCAACCACTACGCTATCATGCCGGGCCCTAATCTCAGGATCTTAGAACTTCATCTGAGTCGCCCATGTGGTTGGCAGGGGTCCAAGTACTTGTGTCATCATCCTCACCCAGGCTGTTAAGCAAGAAGCTGGAGGCGGATTCTTCAAACAGTTATTAAGTAACATGGACTTCCTTCTACCTATTCAGAACACACCTCTCTCCTCCATAGGAGAACCTCAACTTTGTAAAAGTGTACTAAAGGGCCCAGCGCTGTAACCTAGCAGTTAAAGTCCTTGCAGTACACGCACTGCAATTCCATATGGGCACCAGGTCTAATCCTAGTGACCCCACTGGAAGAAGCTCCTGGCTCCTGGCTTCAGATCAGCTCAACTTTAGACACTGTGGCCACTTGGAGAGTGAGCCAGTGGATGAAGGATTTTTCTCTCTATGTCTCTTCTCTGATAAAAATAGATAAATCATTTAAAAAAAAAAAACACTTTATACATTCCAAAATTCTTTTTAAGATTCAAACTCTTCACCCAACTCTCACCTCCTCATGTAAGCATCTGGAATTATGTAAAAAAAAAAAAAAAAAAGACTGCATTCTACTATTATTTTAACTGCACTTAAATGAGTAGCAGACAGAAAGAAAATGGTATTCAGCACTGAGGCCTTGACACAGAGCAGATGGTGTCTGGCGTAGTGGTTAAGGGGCCATTTGGAATCCTACATCCACGGTGGAGTGCCCAAGTTCAAGTTCAAGCTCAGCTCTTGATTCAGTTCCCACAAACGCACACTCTGGAGGCAGTAGGTGATTGCTCAAAAAGTTGGGTCCTTGTCACCCAACTGGAAGGCCCAGATTTTTGAGTTTCTTGCTCCTGACTTTGGCCTGACAATGTCTCTTGCCCTCTCAAATAAACAAATAAATAAAAATTTTTATAAAGCTGTGCCCAGTGAAATAGCTCAGGGGCTAAAACCTCACCTTGTAAGTACTGGGATCCTATATGGGTGCTGGTTTGTGTCCCAGCTGCCCACTTCCCATTCAGCTCCCTGCTTGTGGCTGGGAAAGCAGTCAAAGAAACCTTGGGACCCTGCACCCACATGGGAGACCCCAAGGAGGCTCCTGATACCTGGCTTCAGATCGAATTGCCTCAGCTCCGGCCATTGCAGCCATTTGGAATGAACCGGTGGATAGAAGATCTTTCTGTCCTCCTTTCTTTCAGTAAATCTGATTTGCTTTTCCAATTAAAAAAAATAATACGCTCTGCTATGTTTAGCTGTGTGAAATTGGACAAATCACTTCACCTCTCTAAGACTCCCTTCTCCCAGAAATACAAAGTATTCCTGAGGCATACATTAGCTTGGCGGTAAAGAGCCTAAGAAGCCCGTGTCCCACACTGGACTGCCTGGCTTTGATTCCCAGCACAGATTTCTGACTCCACTTTTCCGCCTATATACAGACCCTGGGGGCACCAGCATAACTCAGATAGTTGGATCCCTGCTGCCCACGTGGGAAATCTGCACAGAGTTCCAGGGCCTGGGCTTGACCGTGGCCTACACAGGCTGTTGTGGGCAACAGAGGAGAGAGCCAGCTAATAGCGGAGTATCTATCCATTTCTGTCTCTCAAAGAAATAAATAAGTAGTTTAAAAAACTGTATTCAGGGGCCCAGCCTGATCGCTCAACAGCTAAATCCTTACCTTATAAGCACCAGGATCCTATATGGGTGCCAGTTCATGTCCTGGCTGCTCCACTACCCATCTAGCTCCCGGTTTATGGTCTGGAAAAGCAATAAAGGATGGCCCGGGGCCTTGGGACGACCAGCAAGTGGGAGACCTGGAAGAAACTCCTGGCTCCTGGCTTCTGATTGGCTCAACTTCAGTTGTTGTGACCACTTGGGAATGAACCAGTGGATGGAAGATATTTCTCTCTCTCTTTTTCCTTGTAAATATGATCTACCTTTCCAATAGAAATAAATAAATCTTTTAAATGTATTCATGCCTTCTTTTTTTAGGATTTATTTATTTTTTATTGGAAAAGCAGATTTACAAAGAGAAGGCGACAGAAAGAAAGACCTTCTATCCACTGGTTCGCTCCCCAAGCGGCCACATAGGCCAGAACTGAGCCGATCAGGAGCCAGGAAGTAGAAGCCTCTTCCTGAGCTTCTATGCAGGCGCAGGGTCCCAAGGCTTTTGACCATCCTCAACTGCTTTTCTAAGCTACAAGCAAGAAGCTAGAGGGGGAGTGGAACTGCCAAGACACGAACTGGCGCCCATATGGGATCCTGGTGCTTGCAGATGAGGATTTAGCCATTTAGGCCATTGCACTGGGCCCTGTACACATTCTTAGAAAAAAAAAAAAAAGGGCATCCTTATTTCACACAGTTGTTTCTAGTAGGGATGGATTAAACCACTGCTTAGGCTACCCCCATCCTGTATCATGGCCCTGGTTTGAGTCATGGCTACTCAGCCTGTGATCCGGTCTCCATCCTGGGAGGCAGCACGTGATGGCTCAAGTGCTGAGACCTCTGCCACACCCTGGTGTGGGAGAACCAGCTGTGGTTCCTGGCTCTGACCAGAGCTGGCTGTTTTAGTCATTTGGTGGGGATGAACCAGCAGATGGAGGAAGATTTTCTCTATCTGTAAGCCTGCTTTTTAATTAATCTCTTAAAAAAGAAAATAATCAGTTTTAAAAATATAGTTAAAAAGAGGGGCTGCCATTTGGCATAGTGGGTAAAGCCACTGCCTGTAAAGTCAGCATTTCATGTGGGCACCTGTTGGTGTTCCAGCTGCTCCACTTCTATTCCAACTTCTTTCTAATGACCTGGGACAAGCAATGGAAGATTGTCCAAAAGTTGGGGCCATTGTTACCTATGTCGGAGACCTAGAAGAAGCTAGTTATTCCTGGCTTTGACCTGACCCAAGCCTGACCACTGCAGCAATCTGGGGAGTGAATCAGCAGATGGAAGGTATCTCTCTGTTTCTCTCCCTCTGTAACTCTTTCAAATAATATATAAAATTTTTAAAATAAATATATAAATCTTAAGCAAATAAAGCCTGAGTCCAATCACAGGGGACTCCTGGGTAGATACAATTGGGCCTACCATGGCATGGAATTGCACACAGTTATAATAGACCCAGCCTGGTGTATGTGCACTGATTAGGGGGTTGGGGGCATCTGCGATTGGGACAGCAAGATGTACAACAGCATGTCAGCGTGGCAAGGCAGGCATGCAACCTAGTGGTTAAGATGCTTATTTCCTCAGGGTGCCTGGGGGGGACCACCAGCTCTGACCCGCCAACTCTAACTTCCTGCTAATGCAGACCTAGGAGGCAGGTGTTTCAAGTAACTGGGTTTGTACTACCTACATGGTAGACCTGGATTGAGGCCCTGGACCCTGGCTTCAGCCTGGGTCAGTTCTGGCTGTTGTGAACATTTAGGGAATAAACCAGCAGATAAGGAGAGTCATTCTCTTTAATAAACAAATAAAAATTGAAAACGAAAACAAAGGTGTACGGAACAATATGTGTTTGCTTGCATCCTTTTTCTGAATCTGGGGTGACGTCTAGGCAAGGGGATTGGGTGTCAGAGGGATGGGGTGGGCAGGAAATTTTTTAGCTGCTAACTTTCTCTGTTACCTCATTTATGAAGGAAGGGGATTGATGGTGCTAATAACAGAATGCTGGTGTCACTGCTGGATTGGACATCCTGAATGTCTCACCTCCCCGCCTTGCACTGGGCAGGGGACCTGGGACCCGCCACCCCAGCAAACTCTTCCTCTTCCCTTGGCACCTTCCAAAGCCACAGTCCTTTCTCCTGAACCCTGAAGCCCGCCGCCTCCTCCATCGGCCACAGCTCCATGGGCTTTCCTTCTAACCCAAACACAAGCCAAACGCTGATCCAAACTCCCCACACTTCCCTAAAGTCCTCAGACTTGGGCTCCCTAAGGTCCTCAGAATGGGACAAGCAGCTGGTCACTCTCCTGTGCACAGTATTACTCCTGGAACTAGGGGTGCCCTGGCTTAGAGAACCCATGGGACACAATCCCAAAGACAGGCACAGGTCCTGTGAAACTCCAGCCTGAACAGACTACATGGAGAGCACATTTGTGACAATGTGAGCCCTGAACGGACAACAGTCATGCTAGAGAATTATTTTTACTTTCTGAAGTGCATAACTGAGCCTATAGTGCACATTGAAATACTTAGAGGTGGCTGCATGGAGTTCCTGGCTGCTGCCTAGGGCCTGGCTTACTCCCAGCAGTTGCAGACATTTGGGGAAAGAATCAGTAGTTGGAAGCTCTCTTTCCCTCCAAAGGTCTGCTTTTCAAATAAATAAATATATAAAAATAAATAGCATTTGTGAGGCCAATATCAAAGTGAGTTAAAGTTAACAAAGTGGAAACAGCTTAGTCATCCACACTGGTCTCCCTGTGTTCACGGCCTCTTTCGTCACAATCAGGGTGTTCTATTCCACCCCCACACCTTTGTTCAAGCCATTGACTTGCCTCACTTCGGACGCCCTTTTCTCCCTGACAAATTCCCGCTCAGCCTTCAAAGCTGTCGCCCTCACTGCCTCTGCTGAGCACTCCCGACCACCCGGTACTGTTGTGATGATCCTATTTCTAAGGCAGACAGACACAGACAGACACAGAGAGGTTTCCCCTGCACTGTTCACTTACCAAGTGCCTGCAAACAGCCAGGGTGGCCAGGCCAAACCCAGGAGCCTGGAACTCCATCCAGGTCTTCCACATGAGCGGAGGGAAACCAAGCGCTTCAACTATCACCTGCTGCCTCCTAGGATGTGCACTTGCAAGAAGAGGAATCACGACCTGAACCCAGAAATTCCAATATGGGATGTGGGTATCCCAAGCCAAACACCCACCCCGTAGCAGGGGAGGTTAATTATCAGTGTTTCATCTTGAACTTGAGATCCTTGTAGATGAGCACAGCATCTCAGCACTAACCAGCAGTGAGAATGACTGTCTCAGGGCACCCCTCCCAGGAGAAGTTTATTGCCTCCATTTTACAGAGAAGGGAAGTGAGGCCAGAAGAGGTGAAGGATCACTCGGCATTTCGATTGAAGTAACTGGGATTAGAGCCGAAGGACCTGACTGTACAAAGTGCCGGTGCTGGCCTGGAATGTCCTCTGGAGGCTTAGGGAGAGCTGGCGCGGGGGCGGGTGTACAGAGCCAACATTGGGCAATGCCTCTAGCAGTGGCATTACGACTCCAATTCCATCCTAGTTCACCCTGGGAATATGCTGGCAAAGGGGCTGCTTATGGAATCTCAGCCCCAGATCACACAGAGGAATGGCTAATAGGATCTGGCTAGCCCCAGCAGGGACCAGCTTCTACCTGACTCAAGAGTGTGCCCAGAAGCCGACAGCTTAGCCTTGGGCCTGGGAAATTCAAGGTTTGAATCTTGGCTTTGACCCCAACCAAGCGACATGACCCTAACCCATGAATTGACTTTCTAACCACTGGTTCTCATCTGGAAAATGGGGACAATGGCAATTCCCACGGTGCACCCTTACTAAGGCATCCAATAACTACTGGAGAATCCTACTAGGTGCGCGGGTTACACCAGTGGGCATAGCAGTCCTCATGAAGCTCACGTTGCTGCCAGAGATGTATCATTAAATCAAGGCACAGGGGTCAGCCCTGTGGTGTAGTAGGCTAGGCATCAGCCTGCAGCACTGGTCCAACAGGGGCACTGGTTTGTGCCCCAACTGCTTCATTTCTGATCCAGCTCCCTACCTGTGACCTAAGAAAGCAGTAGAAAGATGGCCTAAGAAAGATGGCCTAAGAAAGATGGCCCAAAACTGCGGGACCCCGCACATGTGTGGGAAACCCAAAAGAAGCTCCTGGTTTTGGATCAGCTCAGCTCTGACCATTGAGGCCATTTGGGAGAAAGAGAAAAGACCTCTCTGTCTTTCCTTTTCTGCCTTTAAAATAAAATTTATTTTTATTGGAAAATCAGATATACAGAGAGAAAGATCTTCTTTCCATTGATTCATTCCCCAAGTGGTTGCAACAGCCAAAGCTGAACCAATCCTAAGCCAGGAGCCAGGAGCCTCTTCCGGGTCTCCCACGCAGGCGCAGGGTCCCAAAGCTTTGGGTTGTCCTCGACTGCTTTCCCAGGCCACAAGCAGGGAGCTGGATGGGACATGGGGCCGCCAGGATTAGAATTGGTGCCCATATGGGATCCCAGTGAGTGCAACGCAAGGATTTTAGCTGCTAAGCTACTGTGCTGAGCCCAAATAAAATATATATTAAAGAAAAAAAAAAAACAAGATATGTAAGCGAACTACTTAGTGTCAGATCGTGACAAGTTCTACAGAGAAATGCAGATGAAGAGTTCAGGAAAGCTCCCAGAGAGGAAACAATGACACAAAGTCCAGAAAAAGGTGAGGGAGTGCACCAGGTCAACCACAGGTGAATGTAGCAGCCACAACAGTTATAGACACACAGGTGCAAGCCTCTCACACGTTTGACTCAACCCTCTGATAGCATCAGTACTGTTATCCTGCCCAGGTTACAGACATCGAGGTGACCTCAGAGGTCATGCCCAAGACTTCACAGGTGGGTGACCCGCGCCCTGCTGCCATGAGGGCACCAGTGCTGGAAAAACACAGACCTTTCTCAGGCATGGTCCTCGCTCTGGCCTGACTCTGACACCCTAGGTCCTCAGTACACGGAGACTGTTGTGCAGGAGGCTTAAATCAGGCCAAGCAGTTGACCTGCAAAGGGATGCCCACCCTTCCAGTCCTGCGGGTATGATGGCCAAAGCGACCTTAAGTTCGCCCAAGCAAATGTTTGCGGCTTCCTTTACATACACCGCGGCTTCTTTTACACTCAGGCCTCCCCAAGGCCACTTTGAAGGCTTAGCACTGGAGACCCTGCAGATAAGGTGACACAGGACAGGAGCCCAGGGATGGTTGCGGGCGGGCAGGCAGGCAGGCAGGCAGTGGAGGCAGGAGGAGTCCACCTGCCTGCTCCAGGTCAGAGTCCATTTCCCAAACTGTTTAGATATGGCCACAGAAGCCAGACAGCACCAAGGGTACACAGTGAGGCAGGTCAACCCCAAAAATTCAGGAGCTGGCCTGGACAGCACAATAGAAATGCAAGGCGCCGGCAACCAATATCCAGCTCCTGGTGCACCAATGGGACGCTCCGACACTTACAGGCACCTGGCGCGCTGGCGCCAGGCCTCGGAGGAGTTAGGTTCGTCCCTCAGCCCCCGGCCGGCCCGACGCCCGCCCGACGCCCCACTTACACGGCTCCGTTCCGAAAGCCTTTAAGTACAGCCAGGGCAGCGTGGTAGCGGCGCTTGCGTAGCAGTGTATTGACGGCCAGGAGCAGAGCCTGCAGCTGCGGCGGGGCGGCCATAGCTCGGATCGCGCGCGAGGTGGAGGGACGGAGCTGGACGCGCACTGACAGCCGCTGATTCCGGCTGCACAGCCCAAGGTGCCCGGGAAGCGCCTCACGTCTTTGCTCCCCTAGGCTGATTCTGCTGTCACTCATATAGGGAAAGCCAATCAAAGAACGCAGCTGTCTAGAACGCGGATGGGACGCTCCTCATCCTTCTGTGTGATTGGAAAGGACGAGAGAAGTTTGTAACCAATCGCAGTGGGCTCTGACTTCTCAGGCAAATCACCCGCCCGGGTTTGTCCCATCAGGAGGCAGTTTCCTCAGGGGCGTGTCCAGCTCGTGTTGGGTTTGGAAGGAGGCGTGTCACCTGTGGGCTCTTGCGTTTTAATCCCAGCACCTTGCCCACCACCACCATGCCCTCCACCTCGCTCCAGCTCTTCTCATTTCTACCTTCTCCACTTTCTGGGTTTAGCCCAAATGTCACCTCCTCCAAGAGACCTTCCTAGATGTCCCCACTCGCTGTCCTGCCTTTTTTTTTTCTTCCTAGGACTTTTCACACTTTGAAATTATGGATTTGCAGGCCTGGCGCTGTTGTAGGGTTTTTGACCCCGAATATGGCAGCAACCTCAATTCTTGTCTCGCAGGAAAGAAGAATTTTCGTTTTAAAGCAAGATTTATTAGAAAAAGTTGAGAAAGGAGACTCCTGTCCTAGTGACGGGAGGGGGCTTTGAGATAGAAGGGACCCGTGCATGGGGGTTGTTGGGATCTTTTTAAAGCTTTATTTCAGAAGGGGATTTTCCAAGGACAAAGGAATTTCCTGGTCCCCAGGTATCTGGTTTTGGGGGCAAAAGACCAGAGAGGTGCCAGACATAGGACATTGCAGGCCTTATGCATATGTGTATTACTTCCTCCTGCCCTCCTTTTAATGATCAGGAGATCAGCCTGAGACCCTCCCACACAATGGCCAGAGGTAATGGCGGGTACTTCAGGTGGGGAATTGATATGCTAATAGCACCCTTGTCCCTTGGAAGAAACGTGCTGTGGTGAATCTAAGACGTGGTGGGGAAATTCTCTTTTATATAAAAAATGGCTTGGGGACCCAGAATACCCTAACTGCCTACCACCCAGTCAAACTCCTCTCACGATGCGGTAGTTCAGTTGCAAAGTCCTCACCTTGCATGCGCTGAGATCCTAAACGAGCACTGGTTCTAATCCTGGCCGCCCCGCTTCCCAACCAGCTTCCTGCTTATAGCCTGGGAAAGCAGTTGAGGACCACCCAAAACCTTGGGACTCTGCACCTACATGGGAGACCCAGAAGAGGCTCCAGGCTCCTAGCTTTGGATCGGCACTGCTCCAGCCATTGTGGCCCCTTAGGGGAGTAATCAGCGGACGGAAGACCTTCCTCTGTGTATATCTGACTTTGCAATAAAAATAAATAAATCTTAAAAAAGAGAAATCGTGGATTTGCTACATCTTTACCATCCACTACTTCTTAACAAACTGAGCATGCCACGTGAGTGGGCTCTGGAGAAAGAGGAGCCATGTTGGGAACATGGGTCATGCCTGGTGATATTTTACCATTTTACCTGAGAGCCTCAGGGTAGGATCTGTTCTTTCAACTTTGCCCAGAGAAATGAGATGTGTGGTAAGAAGCAGCCCTGGAATGTTTCCTGGGCGCCACAGTTGGTTTGGTTCCTGCTTCATGAAACGTTTCATCTTCCCAGTGTCCTGGGCAGTGGGCTTGGTAACCATGCGTAGAGCTGATGGACCCCTGAGGCCTGGAAGCATGGGTAACTGGGGGAGAGGGTAAAGTGGATCTGCCGTGGAACCAGGCTCCAAAGCTTATTATGTTTTTTACTGTGTTAGCTTCCTAGTGCTGCAGGATAAACACCACAGATAAGATGGGGGTAGTTAGGGCCCCGGTGTGCTGGCCTAGCAGCTAAAGTCCTCTCTTTGAATGTGCCAGGATCCCATATGGGCACCGGTTCTAATCCCAGCAGCTCCACTTCCCATCCAGCTCCCTGCTTGTGGCCTGGGAAAGCAGTCGAGGACGAGGACAGCCCAATGCTTGGGGACCCTGCACCCATGTGGGAGACCTGGAAGAGGTTCCTGGCTCCCGGCTTCAGATCGGCGCAGTACTGGCCGTTGTGCTCACTTGGGGAGTGAATCATCAGATGGAAGATCTTCCTCTCTGTCTCTCTTCCTCTCTGTATATCTGACTTTGAAATTAAAAAAAATAAATCTTTAAACAAAAAAGATGGGGTAGTTAATCCATAGGAATGTGTTTGTTCAAATAATTCTCGAAGCTACAGGTCCCAGACCAAGGTTTCCACCAGTTTGGGGTCTCCTGAAAATTCTCTCCTTGGCTTTTTTTCTTTTTTTAATATTTTGAACTGTTTATTCAACTCTGTTTATATCTTTTTAAAATTTTTTTAACTTTTTCCATTTTTTTATTATATTTTTTATAATCTTTCCATAGTTAATTAGGGCAAAAAGGTTCAAGGGCTATATGAAAGTGGATAAGACTATTATTTCCATATTGTTTCCTTCATGTGTCTGAGATAAAGGGGGTATTAAGGGAGAAGCCCCACCCAGTTTCCCACCCTCCCCAGGTCCCGGATGTGGGGCATGCTCTGAGATTCATGCTCAAGTGGTTTTGATAGTTCACCAGTTATGAATCTCTGCCAATCTCGCCACTCCTAGCACGATGAGGTTGCTGAAGAATCCACTGATTGACATTGTCCATCATAGAGTCTCCGTTTCCCAGTATTTCACTGCCAACACATGCCTAATGCCGAAGACCAGCTCCGGCTGACTGAGAGCTTGCAAAGGATGCATGGATCGGCGAGATGATAGGAAGAAGAGATAAGACACGGACCACTATGGCTTGATGCTCATAATGGACAACTCAGAAAAGTTGCCTTCTTTATTTATACATAAATCATCACAAGCTTTTGCACAACATCCAATTGTTTCATTTTTCATTACATCATGGTTATGAAAATGCAAGCAGCAATCCTAAAAAATATTTTTCTACTTCAAAGAAAACTTTTTTTTTGACAGTGAAACTTGTTATTCTTCCAAGTTTACCTCCCCTTGTTGGGGACTTAGAAATTTGTACAACATAATGGTATTCATTAGACAAAGGTAGGTTTGCATTAGGAAAAAGGGTCCCATTCCATAAGGAATGTGGGTTCCCAAGGTAACCCTCAGACACAACAGAACAAGGCAGAAGTCACCCAACAAAGCTGCCCACCCTTTGGAGGACACAAGGAAAAGCTGGCTGCGAAGTCTCACTACTCTAAAAATCCAAGTCATTCTCTTAAACATGTCATAGAAAAGCAGAATACCCACTTCTGGCTGCAGAAAGTGAGCTGGCAAGAGCCATGCCATGTGCTGTACCGGCAGCCCACTCCCAGGGGCACACTCCCCGTCTGCATTGCACAACTGCCCACCCCACCCCACCCCTGCACCTCCCAGCACTGGCCGCGGTATGGAACTGATGCATGCTGGGCCAGCGGTCAGTGGAACAGAGGCACACCGTCCACCCTCAGAAAGCAACGCAGTGGGGCCCAGCGCGGTGGCGCAAGTGGTTAAGGTCCTCGCCTTGCACACGCTGAGATCCCATATGGGCGCCGGTTCTAATCCTGGCAGCCCCAATTCCCTTCCAGCTCCCTGCCTGTGGCCTGGGAAGGCAGTCGAGGACGGCCCAAAGCTTTGGGACCCTGCACCCGCGTGGGAGATCCGGAACAGGCTCCTGGCTTAGGATCGGCATAGTATCGGCCATTGCACTCACTTGGGGAGTGAATCATCGGATGGAAGATCTTCCTCTCTGTTTCTCCTCTCTGTATATCCGCCTTTCCCATAAAAAAATAATAAAAATAAATCTTTTAAAAAAAAAAAAAGAAAGAAAGCAATGCAGTGGACCAGCTTGTCCTCGAGGAACATCCCACTTGCTGTGCCCGATTTACTCAGGCACCACAGAAGGCTCCTTGTGCCTGCACCCACGAGAACTGTCACTGCCACACTGGCCTTCCCCTGAGCGCAGGAGTGATGGGATGTGCATGGACAGAACCCCAGGAATTCAGTCCAACTCAGCCTTCAATGGGGGGGCATGCATGGGTCCAAAACAGCTTGTCCACTCTGCTGGTGGCCTGCTACCTGTGGAGTGGAGTCACAGGATTGGAGCAGCATTTGCACGTTTTGGGACATAATGGAAATTTTCTCTCCCAAGGTCATTGCTGATCCAACAAGCGCACCTCTTAGTCGGGACTGTTCATGTGAACAGGTGTGAGATAGTGTGGGATCAACCCAAGCCTAGAAGGCCAGGGGCTTTGGGCAGGCAGCTGGCACTTGCTCTGTCTCTACTGGCATCTGTCGGTTAGCTTATTATTATTCGTGCTTGCAAATAATTGTCCTCCAAGTCCCACGTTTTCTGTGTCATCTGGGGCTTGGATAAAACAGCACCTAGAAACAGCACCTGGAATGGCAGCCTGTTTCCTCTTATAAATAAATAAATAAGACATGGCCCCGAGGCCCAGCCCAGCTGAGCCCACACTCCTGCCTCTCCCCTGGACTCCATGTAAACATGGAACTGGCACAGTTAGTACAAAAGCAGCAGCTTGTCTCCAGGGTGGGGTGGGTACAAAGGCGGGGTGGCCTTCCCTCACTCCTGTAGCCGGGGAGGCTGGCAGGACCTACCAGGCTTTGGCTCAAGGAGAAGCAGGGGAGGTCTCCCAAAAGCTCCCAGCTAGGGCCTTCGGGTTCTTCCTAGCATTGCTGGGAAATGCATTTCTTCCAAGTTAAGGGAAAATGGAAATTCCCTTTCTTGACCGATGACAGCCCTAAGGCCAGAGAGGCAGAGATGGCAAGAGGAAGGCCATAAGCCACTTAGGCAGAGAAGTGAGGACTGTGGTACCGGACTGGCAGCAAGGGCTCATTGCACAGTGGATGGCCAGAGCCTGCCCGCGGGTAGGAGGGAGGGAAGGAAGGAAGCCAGCAGGAGGGCATGGTCTAGAACCAGGAGACCCCGAGGCTCCAGGAGGCCTGACAACCTCTATTG